TTCTTTAGGTCATGACCCAAAGCTCATGACTATGGATGAGGGTGGGAACGAAGATCGACCAGTAAATCGAGAGCTTCACTTTTTGACTCAGCTCTCTGTTCACCACGACGGACCGGTACAGCGCCCGCTTCACGGCAGACGCTGCCCCAATCCGCCTGTCGATCTCCCGCTCACTTCTTCCCTCATTGGTGAAGAAGATCCCCAGATACTTAAACTCCTCCGAGGGCAGCCCTGGCGGAGTCCAACTCGCCCTGGAAACGAGCCCGACTTAACGCTGGCAATGCGGACCAGACCCTGGCACCGGTCATATAGGGACCTGACAGCCCGTATCAAAGGTACCTCATACTCCCAGAGCGCCCCCCACAGGGCTCCCTGAGGGACAAGGTTCAACGCCTTCTCCAAGTCCACAAAACACATGTAGACCGGTTGGGCGAACTCCCAGAACCCTCCAGGACCCTGAATAGGTTCTCTTGCCAGGGAGGCTTAAGAGTGTGACCCCTCTGTAATTGGAGCACAGCCTTCAGCCGCCCTCTTTGAACAGTGGGACCACCACCCCAGTCTGCCAACCCAGAACCAAAACCAAACATGCCACAATTAAATAAATCAAGACACTCCAAAAGCGTCAGCAGATTGGCAGACCAGAAGATTCCAGGTAGATTCCAGGTAGATTCCAGCACAGAGACGCAGCTCAGCGGGTCTTCATGCAGGGCCCAAGGTAATATGAGGCTTAGACAGAATCATGATTTAGGCCCTTGGGCCCCTCCTACTAAGAACCTCAGCATGAATAACATGTTTAAATATATATTTCATGAAGTCTGTGGGGGGGGGGACCAGGTTAAAATCAATCACTGATTATTGGTTGTTTCCTGTGATGTATTTATCAATAAACCAGCTCAAAAACAAAGATTACACCATATTGTAGCCATGGTAACACAACAATCAGACTATTAAGATGATTCTATGCATTTTTACAAAGTAAAGGTCCTAATTAAATCTTAAATGTACTATTTATTTTAAAAAAATTCTGCTCAACGCATTAAATAAAATTCAGTAACATTTCAATAAATGAATGCAACAGGTTTAGATCTATGGTTTCTGTTACAATTCAACCATTTATAGGATGTCTGGAGGGCCCCTGAATGGCCCCTACCAGCAGCTACTGAGTTTTCTTTGCCTTGATATCTCAGTCTTATAATTCTAGATCTCTGAGGTGCTAACATAGAAAACTGATGTAGAGTTAACCCCTCTGAGCCTTTCGATCTTTAAAACAGTCTGAAGCCAAGTTGCTATGGAGTTTAACAAATATTATTAAGGTTTATTTAGGAAAATATCAACTGTTCTTATTTCATAGCTTCATAACCTTTGACCTTCTCTCCTCTGGTCTGTTTCACAGCTTCAGTCTCAGATCAGCTCAGCAGAACCAGAAACATTATATCTGGGAAACATGGACTATATTTACTTTGCATTATCCCCATATGATGACAGTGATATAGAATAATCTGATTAAATATTAGATTATTGATTAGTATGGGTTGTTGTTGTGCGGTGTTTTAAGATCTTGTTCAATGTGCCGTTTATTAACTCTGAGACCCTCCAAAGGTCTCTGCACTGCCCAAGTTCTTCTGGACCAGCAGAACCAAGCAGTCATTCATTAGAACCGGTGAGCAGCTCAGAATACGCTTTGGATCAGCTCCTGAATGTCTGGGGGGCCCTGAAACACATTCAGACATTCGGGGGCCCCTGAGGATCTAAACCAGCTGTGATCAAAACTTTAACGAGAGAACCGTTAAGCTGACGTAACTTCCTGTCCCGTCGGATCCGACTCCTTTATGTTCTGATTCAGTGATCGGTCCCTAGTTTGGTCAGCCAGCTGGTTCTGGTCCAGAGGCCTCAACAGAACCTCAGCCCACTCCGCTCCCTCCGAACTTACCGGAATGTTAGCTAGTTAGCGGCTAGCAGAGCGCTCCGGATCAAACTGCGGCTGTGTGGATTAGTACAGTGTCCCAGGTCTCAGCTGGTCGAGGTTCCGGTCCAATTCCGAGTCCAGGTCAAGATGCAGCTCAGGATTCTGGTCTGGTACTGGTTCTGCTTCTTCCTCTCCTTCAGCCAACACCCTTTTCCGGGTTGAGTTCCCTCCGCTGGAAATGACGTCAGCTGCTCTTTTTTTCTGAGGAAGAGGAAGAAGCAGTCAAACCAGTGCCCCCTGCTGGACTCCGAAGAAACTGCAGCCTGAACCACGAGCATTTCAGGTCAGAGTGCTTTACATAAAAAACACAACAAACTACAGAAACACATTATATTTCAGTGGCAAAATAAAGAGAAGTCATAAAAACTCTAATCCAGGCCATGGTAACTAATGTTCCAGTTATTATTAATCAAATCAGCTCCAGCCAGCTGGGTTTTTAGTCTGGACTTAAGGAACTCAGTGTTTCAACACTTTTTCAGTTTTCTGGAAGTTTGTTCCAGATTTATGGTACATAGAAGCTGAATGCTCTTTCTCCATGTTTGGTGCCAGAACCAGTAGATTGATCCAGCAGCAGCAGATCAGAGATTTCTACTATGTAGAGAATCATCCGTTCTCCATGCTAAGTTCTTGGATGTATGAGGTTAAAGAAGAGTCAGTGAGTTGAATTCATGAATTCCATTCATTAATACCAAAATACAGCTGGTCCATTATGACCTGCTACCTTTAAGAGCTAACAGACAAAACGGCATCCCTGATGGGTTTGTGATCTCCTTTGTTAGCCTCCATCTAAGCTACTCCCTAAAAGAGTACGTTCTCTGTGTGTCATCCCTTACCCTTAGCTGAGCTCTCATTTACATTTCCTAACATGTCATTTCCTTTAGGTTTAGCTTAGCTTTAGCTTAGCAACTAGCAAACAGATATAGAATCAAAACACAGAATTATTTATTCTCAACACCAGCAGTAGTTTAAAGTCTCTTCTCTCAGTGAAAGACTGTAGAACTGGGTGGTGTCTCCATCTCCCTGGTTTTAGTCAGAACTCCAGCAGCAGCGTTCTGGACCGTTGATGTGAAGACGCTGCTGCAGATAAATATCTCATTATGTTCAGTGATGGAGTCGTGAACTGGTCCTTTTAGCTAATAATGATCTGACATCCAGCAGAGCCTTTCAGTGACTCGCTGGTAGATCATCGTTCATTTTGCAGTGGATCAATCTGAGGTCCGATGTCAGTATTTCAGTTTCAGACAGGGATTCTCCTGCATCGTGCCGGTGAATGTCCAGCCCATTTCTGTGCAGAATGCAGGCGGTGAGGATGAGGCCCGCTGGCTGAGGACCAGTGGAGCCGGATATTTTTGTTTAGATCGACAGACTATTGACGTGAGATCTCTGGGGATAACATTTCACAAGAAAGATGGACATATTACTGTTTATATTTTGTGAATAGAATATTACTAAACTATATTTATATCCACCGACAAAATACCAGCTAATTTTAGCTATAGTGCTTGGTGTAATACCAGGTTCAGCTATGAAGGCTAACC